CTGAGCCTCAGTTAAGAGTCCGTGAGCTATTCGAGCTAGTGAGTGCTGCCAGGAGTGCAGACAGGCAGGGGAAAGATCTGGTGGAGACCTGTGTATACGTGCAATGACTCTGAATCTCGCTGAGCTAGACCGAAAGGCTGGTCCTAGGAAATCAGAGCCCTTGTCTGGAGTGCTGGGCATTGAGGTCGGCAGCTGTACATCAGGGAGGCGGAGAAAGCAGGCAGTGGTGCTCTGTCACTCAGCGTCAGTCAGCTGGTGTAGAGAGCGTCTGGAGAAGTTTGGCAACCTTTCATTATTTTTTTTTAACATTGGTAATGTTGCCCATTTGTTTTTAAATGGCTCACCTAGGAACACAGACAGTAGAGATAGGAAGGTCCCTTCTAGCTCACCCAGTCCAGCTCCCTGACAATGCAGGGTTATTTTCTAGCTTCGTTTATATTCCAGTGCTTTTTCCAGGCGACTTGCGAGTGTCTCAAATGTTGGGGCTGCTCTCACTTCTCTTGGGAGACTGTTCCATGATCTAAGACTTTGTCTATATTACCGATTTACTTCAGTCCAACTCATGTTGCTCAGGGGGTGTGAATAATTCACACCCCCTGAGCAACGCAAGTTATACCGACCTAAGCACTGATGTGGATAGTGCCAGGTCGGTTCTCCCACCAACATAGCTACCACCTCTTGCAGAGGCAGCAGTTACTAAGCCGACGGGTCTCCCGTCAGCTTAGATTGTCTCCACCACAAGCGCTTCAGCAGGGCAGCTGGGCCGCTGTACATGCTGTATGGTCAAATAGACTCTTCGCTGCCAGGAAGTTAACTCTGCTCCTTCCAGGGTTGGTTTGTTTTTGTTGTTGTTTTGTTTTTTTTAGGCAGGGAGGGGGAGGAGGAAGAAGAATAAGGGATGTTGGAAGTACATGAGAGTTTATCCCTTGTATTTCCTGCAGACCAGTTTATCCCTTGTACTTCCTGTGGGCCCTATTCAAACTCCTAATAACTTCAAGGGGCATCTGCTTCAGTAAAAATTGGGTTTTGGCCTTTTGGTAATACTTAACCCTTTCTTCCAGGTGTGTAGCAAACACCAATCCTTATAACATCCCAGCAAGGCAGGTTAGTCAGTATTAATGAAGACCAAGAAGTGAAGTGACTTGCCCCAAGCTACAAAGTGAGTTAATGTCACAGCCAGGAGTAGAATGCTGGGGGTCCTGATCCTGTGCTCAAGCTGCTGGATCACACTGTGACATTGCAGTCTATATGGTTTTATAAAAATATGCTAATGAGTGAATATAATGTAACTGGGATATGCTTCATGCAAAAGGTCTCTTGTAAGGTATCATTACAAAGCTTATAATCTACTGCGTGTGATTATCCTATTTGTATAAATGTACCACTCTTGTATCTGAAACTAGAAATCTGAAATATAACTCTGAGGGCCTATTGTAATTATGCAAAGTGTGGGCCATTTAATGGTGGTTTGGAATCTTGATGACTCCCATTAACCAGGACCATTGTCTGCAGATGGCTGTGTTTACCTGTTAGTCTTCCTGTATATGTGTGTGCTGGCAAGTGGGCAATAAAGTCTTGCAGTGACATGTGATCATGTCATCTGAACTGGAATCCATCTTTAACCTGGTGTCTTTCCATTGAGAAGGACGGGATGGGAACCCAGAGAGGGACAAAGGATTCCCGCCTTATACAAAAGATATATAAAGGGGTGGAACAGAACAAAAGGGAAGGAGCCATCATGAAGAATCCCCTAGCTACCACCTGAGCTGGAACAAGAACTGTACCAGGGGAAAGAATTGTGCCCAGGCCTGGAGGGTGTCCAGTCTGAGGAAAAAAATTACTGAAGTATCTCTGAGGGTGAGAATATCTGTATTCAGTTTGATTAGACATAGATTTGCGCATTTTATTTTATTTTGCTCGGTGACTTACTTTGTTCTATCTGTTACTATTTGGAACCACTTAAATCCTACTTTCTGTATTTAATAAAATCACTTTTTACTTATTAATTAACTCAGAGTATGTATTAATACCTGGGGGAGCAAAGAACTGTGCATATCTCTCTATTGGTGTTATAGAGGGCGAACAATTTAGGAGTTTACCCTGTATGAAGCTTTATACAGGGTAAAACGGATTTATTTGGGTTTAGACCCCATTGGGATTTGGGCATCTAAGTGTTAAAGACAGGAACACTTCTGTTAGTTGCTTTCAGGTAAACCTGCAGCTTTGGGGCAAGTAATTCAGACCCTGGGTCTGTGTTGGAGCAGACGGGAGTGTCTGGCTCAGCAAGACAGGGTGCTGGAGTCCTGAGCTGGCAGGGAAAACAGGGGTAGAAGTAGTCTGGGCACATCAGGTGGCAGCTCCCAGGCGGTTTCTGTGATCCAACCCGTTGCACACACCACCTTTGCAGGAGATAAATCAATGCCAAAGCCCCATCCTCACCCCCAGCAGCATTGCCAGCAGGGGCAGAGATTTCAGGAGAGAGGAAAAACTCTTGCATGTGGAATCCTCAGTGTTTCTGCATTGCCCGGCATTTTGAGAAAAATCTCAGACTCACTTGTTTCCTGTTGTTCTGCAGCTAAGAGTGTGACTTTAAAGACAACAGAAATAAACGGTGTTCTATTCTGGGGTGGGGAAGGAAAGCAGTGGGAGTAGAGACAAGTCAACTTGGCCGTTAACACTATACTTCTGCTCTCCTTTAACTCCCAGAACCCCAGGCAGGATTTTTGTTTGAGGGGGATGTGTGCCAACTGCTTACAAGTAGGAATTCCAGTTCCCCAGCTGTATCTCCACAAGCAGCTAAAGGGCAAGGCAGGGCATGGGATGGGGTGGGGTGGGGGGAAGAAACTGTAGCATTCTCACTGGGAGGATACATTAATATTAGCTTTTGAGAGAGGGAGACTGATCATGGGAGGATGGGGATTTTTTTATTCTGTTTTGGACGGCGTCTAGCACGGTGGGGTCCTGGTCTGCAATATAAATAAGTGGCTTTAGGTGAATTTCTGCCTCCTGTTCGCCTTTCATGTCCTGCAGTTTGTGACGAAGGATTCCCAAGCCTTGCCAAACGCAACTTATCGAGAGCCTGATTTGGGCTGTAATTCATAGTAGCCATTCTTAGTCTTTCTGTAAAGATGCAGCCCATGGAGACTTCAAGTCTCCCCATGCAGTGCTCTTTCTGGAGAACAGGCAAGTTGTCTAAACTCCTCCTCATTTCCTCCCCTTCCAAAAAAAGAAAAGAAAAAGAAAAGTTGGAGCTGGCTACCCATTTGACTTCACAGCGAAAGTCCCGTAGGGTTTCATAGTGAAGACTCCAGAGCTGGAGTTGTGAAAAGGTTACTTTAAACCACCGTTGCGCTCCGCATGTTTTGGAGCAGCCAGGGGCCCTTCCTGGCTCCAGGTGTCCGCCTCAGAACTGTTCTATCTGTGTTGCTTTCTGGAGCTCCTTATGAGCTCTGGCAATTGGTGAATAACTGTAGAGCTGTGTGCTCTGGCCATGTGCCCCCTTCCCACTCCTGCTTGCCCACTTCCGCCCACTCCATACCCCTGGCCCAATCCTGACATGCCCCGTATGCCAGGGGCTGGCAGCAGAGCTGGCTTGGAGTCCTTATGCCAGCTCTACACTGGGTGGGGTGTCTTCCTGTGCAGGGCATATTCTCCATGGGCTTTCTCAGGGAGCCATTTCCACCCCTTTTTAGGCTCCTTTGTGTTGCCAGAGTGCACCTGTGCTGTGGTTTAGGCAGCCTTGACAGAAACAATAGCTGGGTTTACATGATATTACAGACATGTGACTATAAACCCAATGACTGGCTGCCCCTGTCTGGCAGCTTCCAGCACTAGAGGCCTACCATCATATCTCCCAGAGCTGCAACAGGGGCCTCCCTCTTTCCTCCTCCCAACACACACGTGTGTAGCTTGCTTTGTGAGCAGACGCTCTGATGTTACAGAATGAAGGTTTGATGGAAAGACAAGCTATTAGTTTTTTAATATAGGGAAAGGGAATAATTTTTTGCTGAGGGCTGTCTTCCTTCTTTTTCAGTTGTTCTCTTTCCTGTATCCCATTGAAGACGAGAGCAGGTGAAAGAGGAAGACGTCCCTGTGGAGAACTGAGAGGTCTCATTTGTGCTCCAACTTTTACTCACTCTGAGAGGTCAGTGGTAGCCATGTTTTTGTTCCCCCTTGAAAGTCTGCTTTAGGCAGATAATAGCATTTAGCATTTATGCATTGCAGAGCACTTCACAAGCAGCTGGCAGGAAGGCTGTATTTAATGGTTCATAGCTGTTTTCTGTGCCATAAGGCACCCAAGGGCAGAGGTGATAAGCAGCAGGATCCATTTTTTAAAATAAATCCTAGCTGGTAGATCAAGGGAGTGCTAGTGGGATTTTCATTTGGCACAGAGAGGTTAAGGGCTGGATTTTCAGAAGTGCTGAGCACCTGTAATTGCCCTTCAACCTCTCTGAAAATTAGGCCTTCAGTGATTTATCCAAGCACAGCAAGTGGTTGGCAAAACCAGAACTAGAATTTAGTCTCACCTGAGGACTAGACACTCCTATCTTGTGCATTACGTATGTGGGTGAAGATGGGCTATGAAGTCCTTACAGTACAGCTACACTGGATCTGTCCAGCACTTAGCTACTATGGCCATGGGTGCCACCAAAAGGTTGAACAGCTAATTACTCTTATTTTCTGTCTGACTTGTATTAACTGGGGAGACAATAAAGACACATCATTGGGCTCACCCTGGACACTAATCTCCTCCTAGTTGCTATTAAGTGTTGCCTTTTATGGCCTGGGAGTTATTTAATTTACTTAGGTTAAGAAACAGTGCCTTACCTCCCCATCCATTAGACATAGCTTCAGGGCAGGTTATGCAGAAAAGTCTTCAGGACCGGCTTTCTTTCTTTGCTGTCTAATTGACTCCTGTTACTGGGCAAGTAGAGGCAGATGCATTGAGCCACTTTGTGTGTGTATGACTAAACAAGTGCCTATAACCTATTTGAATGTGGGTGCATGTGTTTTCATAGCTTTGGCATGTGCACATACATAGATCAGCTAACAAAATCCAGTGGGCTGAGGCGTGGGACCCCATAACTAGACCTTGAGATGCAGATACCTCAGCACAGGGTAACGGATGCTACAGTACCATGTTTAGGGCTGGATTTTCAAGTGCCACAGTTGGGGTTATTTTCAAAAGTGCTCTGCTCCCACTGTGTTACTTACAGCCATATTGTCGGAGGAGCTCAGCACCCAGCATGCCAAACTCTATTGAAAACCAGGCCCCAAAGGATCATTTTAATGCTCCACATCGCTCCAGGGCTTTCCCAGCGATGATGCACTTAAACATCATGGAAGGCATGGATGCTCACCACCACTCAGGATCAGCTTCTTAGTTGATTGGGCAAGAGGTTCAATTCAGATATATCTTTCCTTTGTCTATTTCCCTGAAGACGGGTGTTGCTCCCTACACGGCAGTCTGGAATAGCCTCTCGCAGAGAGCTAGTCTACTCTGTGTGATACAAGGAAAATAAAATGCATTACACACAAAAGGGAAGGTCCAGAAACAACCACGTGTTTCCATGAATAGTTTCCTTGGCTAGTCACCAAGCATGCAGGAGCAGCCTGTACTGGCTAGGAGGGATAGATCAAACGAAAGACAGCAGTGATTGCTCTGTGATTCATTGGCTACCACCCTTCCATGAATCATTGTGCTGCATAAACCTGCAGCTGTTCTCTGCCTGTTCTTTGAAAATAAACAGAGAGGAGGACCTCTTGTGTGCTTTTACTGCTTCTTTTATCAGAACAGTTGAGCTTAGTTCTGCAAGATCCTCTGAAAAGTCCTTACCTGAGGCTTGATAGAAACATCTGTGTGTGTGAGAGGGAAATTCCCAGGAGGCCTTGAGCAGTGGCAGAGGTTTTGGTGTAGAGGGTATGTGGTGACCCTGTCTCACCCAGGGTTGACTAGAGCCTAAGTTGAATGTCCACTTCCTCCCCACCCCTGCCCCGCTCAATGCACAACAAGATTCTGGCAAGTCTGACATCTCCCACTTTAAATACATGGGACCCTTGGGAGGTGTCAATCAGCAGGGGATCGGGCCCAGGGCAGGGAGAGTGAAATACTAAAAAGGCAACCCAGTAACAGGTTGTACCTTTTGCTGTTTGGCAGTGAAGATGCCATCAAAGAGCCCTTTTTTTTTTTTTTTTTGATGGAAAAGTGCGGTCATCTAGTTAGATTGGGTGAAGTGAAAATCTGAACCCATGGAGCTCAGGGGACGTGGGCACATTGTTCAAGATACACAGCAGATCCTCAGCAGGTGCCAATCAGCCAAGGGAGCTATACTGATTTACACCCACTGAGGATCTGGCTCACAGTGATAACTTGCCAATATTCAATAATGACAAAAGTCAAAGTCTCCTATCCAGATCTCATTATTAATTATTGGTGTTACAGTAACACCTAGAGGCCCCAGTGAAACTCAGGGCCCCATTGTGCTAGGCTTAGTATATACATACACATACACACACATACACACACACAGAGTAAGAGTTTACAATCTAAATAGACAAGACAGGCAAATGCTGAGAGGGAAACAGAGACATTTAGCATGACTTGCCCAAGGTGTCACAGCAGGACCGTGGCAAAACCAGGAATAGAACTATGGTCTCCTGATTCCCAGTCCAGTGCAATAGCTACTAAACCACAACACCCGTCTTCAAGTGATGCTCTCCTCAGGGCAGCCCAGAACCATAAGCCACTGTGTTACTCCTCTGCCTTAGCCAGTGTGTGCTTTGTGGGGGATTAGACTGTGTCAGCTCCCTGCCACACCAGTCTGTCCTCTTCATCCACAAGCTCCTTGAGACTCTGCCAGTCTTAACCTTGCTTTGCAGATAGCAGTCAGTGCACCCCAGTAACTGAGTTCCTCAGAGACTTCTATCTGTAGTTTCCAGTCCCTCTCACTAGATACTCAGAAATTATTACGTTTGCTGCCCTGAAAGAGACGGTGTACACACCAGTCTGCTAGGTTAGCTAAGGAGTCTCTCTATATTTAATATAACAGCACTAAGATAGCTTACAGTAAAACTAAGAATAAGTTTATTAATAAAGAACAGAGATTTAATTGATACCAGGCAAGAATAAAAGAGAGAAAAAAGGGTTACAAAAATAACATCTTTTCTAGAGCCTAAAATGTAATTCCTTAGAAGTTATACCTTTGCTTAAAACGGTTTGTCACTTACAGCAAGTTACCAGCAGCTCCTGCTCTTCAGGCCAGGAAGATCCACCATTCACAGGCTCAGAGGCTGCTGTTGGATAACTAGAATGTCTTTTTGTTCCCTTTATATTTTCTATTGTTCATTGTCTTTGTCTCGAGAGCCAGGAAGACTTCTTGGGCATGCAGACTTTGCTCACTAAACTGTTTCCTCCTCCACTTGATTGCTTTGTTTACCTTCTAAGTAAATGTACTTTCATTGGTCTCTGCCTTTAAGCCAGTCTCAAGCCAGTCAGACAGTGAAATCCCCATTCCTTTGGCTAGGGCAGACTTGCTGTATACACTGCCTCCAAACCACATTTGAAGAATGTGTTTCTAGCACACACACACCATTCTTTATATACAACCTCTACATACATCACACAGTGATTTTTGGGACCAGTGTGTTACCAGTTTACATGTGATATCTTACGCAGACACCTTTTAATATTATATCATCACACGGTGTTGGGAGTTGTCATAACTATAAAGGGAAGGGCAACAGCCCTCCTGTGTACAATACTATAAAATCCCTCCTGGCCAGAGACTCCAAAATCCTTTTACCTGTAAAGGGTTAAGAAGCTCAGGTAACCTGGCTGACACCTGACCCAAAGGACCAATAAGGGGACAAGATACTTTCAAATCTTGGTGGGGGGAAGGCTTTTGTTTGTGCTCTTTGTTTTGGTGGGAGTTCGCTCTTGGAACTGAGAGGGACCAGACATCAATCCAGGCTCTCCAAATCTTTCTGAACAAGTCTCTCATATTTCAAACTTGTAAGTAAACAGCCAGGCAAGGCGTGTTAGTTTTATCTTTGTTTTCTCAACTTGTAAATGTACCTTTTGCTAGGGTGTTTACCTCTGTTTGCTGTAATTTTGAACCTGAGGCTAGAGGGGGGTCCTGTGGGCTCTTTAAGTTTGATTACCCTGTAAAGTTATTTTCCATCCTGATTTTACAGAGATGATTTTTACCTTTTTCTTTAATTAAAAGCCTTCTTTTTAAGAACCTGATTGATTTTTCCTTGTTTTTAGATCCAAGGGGGTTGGATCTTGATCCACCAGGAGTTGGTGGGAGAAGGGAGGGGGGATGGTTAATTTCTCCTTGTCTTAAGATCCGAGGGGTTTGGATCTGTATTCACCAGGGAATTGGCAAAGAGTCTCTCAAGGCTACCCAGGGAAGGGAATTAGCACATTGGGAGTGGTTGCAGCGGACCAGATCTAAGCTGGTAGTTAAGCTTAGAAGTTTTCATGCAGGCCCCCACATCTGTACCCTAAAGTTCAGAGTGGTGAAGGAGCCTTGACAGGAGTAATGAGTGTGTCAGGCCTGAGACGATTTACCTTATAGTGGGGCCTTTGCCAGTGAGCATTGAGGGGCTCTTAGGGTCACACCCAGTCTCCTACTCGAGCTTATCTCTTCCAGTGATACCCCATCCTGGGGCATCCAACTGGTTCTTGGGAAGGGAGGGGAAAGGTTTGCCTCCCCCCCCCCCTTTATTAGTTGCTGTACATACGTTATAAGGATACACTGTAAAATGCTGTATGGGGTGAGGACACCCTGCTGCGCCTCTCAGGAATCTCTTGCTCCCGATATGTGGCAAGCAGAGAGCAATTCCCTGGTACCGTTTCCATTGAGTGCTCAGCATAGGCCTTGGCTTCAGAGGGAATTGAGACAGACAGACACACACACACAGACACACACACCCCTACCTTCCTGGAGGCACTTCACTGGGGGTAGGATGCTGATGAGGACAAAGAAACAAAAGGCTCCTCCTCGCTACACGTCGTTGTAATAGCGGCTTGGATTTTGGGGGGAGTGTAGGGGAAATGTAGTGCTGGTGGAAGTAAATCACTGGTAGCTTGATCCAAGAATAGCTGGGATAATTGCTCAGCAAGCTTCCCTCTCACATAGA